TGACTCCATGGAACATCTACCTGTGCATCTTGCATATGAGGCTTATCTAGGAGGACTTGTTAAATATAGGTGGATGTATCCGTTTGAAAGGTTCATGGGTGATTCAAAGCGATCAGTGAAAAATAAAGCTAGAGTTGAAGGATTAATATGTGCACATTACTTGCATCGAGAAACTTCACATTTTTGCAGTCACTATTTCAAGCACTTGATGTTAACTCCAAGAATCATAAGGAATCCTGTAAATGTTATCGAAAGAAGTCAGTACACCTTATCAGTCTTCAGGCTTCCAGGTCGTCCCTCTGGAAAGAAGGGTGAGCATTGGTTGACCCAACAAGAAATGCAATCTGCACATGTTCATGTCTTGATCAACTGCATTGAAGTTAAACCATATCTTGAGTAAGTATAATCCAACTTCTTAATTTTCTTTACAGTGTGAATATAAAATTGATTACCTTGAAACTTATAGTGTGTTTCTTTTTAGGGAATTTAACAACGCCTACTTTGATAGTACCGGTGTACAATCAACATCTGGTGTCATTCATGCCCAATTTCCAACATGGTTCAAGGAGAAATTGTATAGGGTTGTTGCACCGACTCCAGAAATACTCCATTTGAGAAACTTGTCTAATGGCCCTCGTCAAAGTGCAAACAAATGGCACACATACTTCGTGAACGAATATAAATTTCACACTCATGAATGGACTGAAGGGAAAAAAACCATAAACAGTGGCGTATTTGTGAAAGGAGTTACAGATGGTGGTGAAGATGACTTATATGGTTTTGTTAAACATATCTACGAGTTAGTATACAATTTCTTGGACTCGGAAAATAAAGTTGTCTTATTTTATTGTAAATGGTATAATCCAACTAGAGGCACAAAAAATAGATAAGACATATGGTACTGTTGAGATTCAAATGGACCGGAGGTACAAAGAGTACGACCCTTTCATAATGTCAAATATTGTTAGGCAAGTTTATTATATTCCTTATCCTTCATTTGTGCCACGTAAACGACGGTGTTGTGTTGTAATAAAAACAAAACCATTGGGTCATATTGAAACTGACGATCTAGTGGAGGATGTTGCTTACCAAGTTGATGAAGTTGAAGTTAATGATGTGATTCCAGATGAACACACTACAAGTTTGTCTGATACAATGGTTGAGGGGAATCAAGTTGATGAGGATGAAGATCATGAAGATTCTGGATCTGAGGATAGTATCACATCAGATGACGATGATGAAATGGATGACGAGCATGACGATTCAGAGTAGTGAACCTATATTCATGAGAATTGTGTCTTGTAATTTTACTTAACGAACCATTTATTGAATGATTTAATGAATATGTATTCATGAGAATTGTGTCTTGTAATTTTACTCAAAGAACCATTTATTGAATGATTTAATGAATATGTATTCATGAGAATATGTATATGTTAACTTGTATTTTCTTTAATTAGGTAAAAATGCCACCCAAAGATAATAAGGGTAAAGATCCTAGTGATAGTGGTAGGAAGCCCAGGCGTCCAAGGGTAGTAGTATGCCAGTCACCTCACTCAGCCACGTGTCCTCCCCCACAGAGTCAGGTTCATCATATGTCCATGGACAGTACTATGCCATTTACTCCATTACTATCATCTCAGAGTCTTCTTCAGTTCCCATCTGGGAGTACATGTTTTATTAGTCCATCTGGGGGCCCACCTGGTTTACCATTCCAGCAGACACAGGTGCCCTCATCCTTCCAGCAGACACAGGTGCCCTCATCCTTCCAGCAGACACAGGTGCCCTCATCCTTCCAGCACAATTTTCCATTTCCCACACAGATGCCCTCATTCGTGCAGCAGCCTGGAGGATCCAGCACCCCACTTCTTACACAGATGCCCCCATCCGTCCAGCAGCCTGGAGGATCCACCTCTTCACGACCCACACAGACAGGTCGCACCCCCACATCCCACACAGAGTCGGATGATGACGATCTTGGTGTGGATGATGATCAGATAGATGGGAGAGATCTTCGAGGGGATGATGATCCGAGTGAGATTCATACCATTGATGGGAGATTTTGGATATGGCCTGAAGGGAACTCGTAAGTTTCTTATTTATTGATTTTTATTTATAAGTACACATTTCCATTTTTAATATAACTTTATATAATTAATTATGCTAATTCAATTATTGTTGTTTTAGTTTCGGGCCGAGTCGGACTGCTGCTAAGGTTATCAATTATATAATTCAGCAGAATTATACAAATTTTTTGAAGAGTTTTAGAGAAGTTTCCGATAAAGAAGAATGGTTCAAGCAATTTCAGGTATAATTAATTTATTTCTTAAGTTATTTTTATTTAAATGACATTTTCATTATTGTTATAATTTATCTAACTATTTATTTTAATGTCATACAACATTGCAGGCGAAATGTGTTTGGGATCCCCTGAACCATAATAAAGTAAAAAAAAATTATTTTGGGAGGAGTTCAAGACGACTTTCTGACATGCTACGACGTGTTAGAGAGAATTGGCACCTTTTGGGCATTCGTCCCAAATGGATAGGCAAAGAAGTTTTTGAACAACTTCTTAAGTATTGGGAATCAGATGAATTTAAGGCTAAATCTGAAACTGCAAAGAAGATGAGGGCATCGGAAAAAGAGGGTTGCATTAATGCTGTTGGAAGTATTAGTACTGCTGAGCATGCTCGACGCATGGTAATTATTACCACTTTTTAAGGTCATATTTGGATTTATAACATATTATTAATTTAAGTTAATTTTTATATTTAGGCTAAGCGTTTGGAGAGACAACCATTGATGACTGAGCTGGTTAAGGAGACTCGGACAAAGAAATCGAGAGGATTTACTGACGAGTGCACAAAAAAAGCCCTGGTAAGTAAATTTATGTTTATATTTTTTTAAGCAATTTTGTGACGTGATTTTCATGTAGCAAGTGACATGTTGTGGCGTGAAAATTGAGTGGCAACTGATAAGTTGTGGCGTTACAATCACGTGGCTATTTATTTTATTTTTATTTTTTTTTATTTCATTTAATTTCATTAATGTTACTTATAAATTTAACTTGATTTTTTTATTGTATGTGTAGGAGGATTATCAGGCGTTGCTTGTAGAATTTCTGACCCATAATCCTCAGTATACGCCTCCTCCAGAAAAACCGGTTCATCCAGATGTGGATTTCTATATTTGGAGTCAAGTTGTTGGGGGAATGGGGTCTAACGGGTGTTTTTTTGGTGGTGGAAATTTGGCGGGCACCTTGAGGAGTGGGGATAGAAATCTGTATCAGAGAGCTGCAGACGGTGAAGGAGGGTCACGTCAAACAAATTTGACACTAGATCGGTTAGAACTAGTAAGACAATTGGCTAGACGCGAGTCCGAAGATCGTGAGGCGGCATTGAAGACCCAAATGGATGTCCAAATGGAGGCAATGAGGGGTGAACATAATAGACAAATTGAGGCAATGACGAAGAGGCAAGCTGATATGGAGGAGCAAATGCGACAATTTATGCAAGCATTTGGTAGAAATCCCAACAGTGGTGGCCAAAATAATAACCACCAAAATAATGATGACTTTCTTCCCGACATTTTCGACGACTATAATGATTCTGCTTAGTTTTATTTTTATTTTGTATTTAGTTTTTTATTTGTGTAATATAAATTTATAATCATATTGTATATTTAAAAATATTATAAATTTAAATTTGAGTTTATTAAATTTATAATATTAAGTATATTTATTTATACATTTAAATATATTTGGTTTTGTTTTTGATAATTTGATTTATAATATTGTATTTAATAAATAAATTATAATATTTAATTTATAAATTTAATAAAACAAAAAATAATATTAATTATTAAAACAGAATTAATTTATTTAAAACACAAAATATTTTTTTTTATAAATAAAACAAGTTGCGGCGTGTTTTTCATGTCACTAATTAGTGACGTGAAAAACACGTCGCTACAGCTAACGTAAATATAAATGTGACTGCTCTGCTCTGCACACTTTCATCCTATACAGTATGTTGCGGCGCGAATTTCACGTGGCAACTTGGTGACATGCTTTTCACGCCGCAACAAGATTGTCACGCGCTATATAGCGACGTGTTTCTTAAGGTGGCAAAATTTGAATAGTGGCGTGATTTGGGTGTTAGCGACGTGGCTTTCACGTGACAAAACACAAGTTATTTTATAGTGCCTAGTTATGGGCCTTTGGTCTAAGAGGAGCACCTTGACTAATCAAACCTTGAGTGCCTTGACTATTTGAAGAGCCTTGAAAGAATGTCTTGAGGAAAGTGAGAGGGCAAATTTTAGGGTACAACACCTCACTCAACACTCAAGTGGAAAATATCTCACTTCATATAGTAGCTCGCATCACTACAAGGATTGACAAAAGTCTAATCTTTTGAGAAAATTTTAAAATAAAATAAAAAGGCAAAGTGGCAAAAATAGTTTGAATGAGATTGATTAACTTTTAACCTTTGTCACAAAAATGTCAAAGTATTATTAAGCTGCTTAAAGTTTGATTAAGAAAATGATTTTTGAAAATGCATGAACCTAAGTCCAAGTTTATTATGAAAGAGGTTCAAGTTCAAAAAAACAATAATAGTTTTCAAAAGGAGGAAGAAGATTTTGAAATTAAAGAAGATGGGAGGAGATGAAGGGACTATCCTAAAGCATACGGTAAAAGCTAGGGAAAAAAATTGTCTAACCAACAAGAAGCCAACACTTGACAAAATGAGTCAATGTAGAATTCTCATCCTTTGAATTGAAACCAAGCAAGCAAAGATACTAAACCTCTTAAGAATACCAAGCTTCAGATGCATTAAGTCTTCACAAAAATTAGACAAAATAACAGTTGTATACAGATGAATTCCCAATCACGGACAAAACATATAATCAGAATAACATGCACACAAAGAAACAAAACAATCCAATGTCTCGGGGTAAACCCCAAGAACTCCATACATAATAACAACAGAAGTCACAAGGTCTCAAGGGTAGTCAAGGTTTCGAGCTTCCCACGCCAAACTCTGAAAAAAATTCATACAAGTCTTGAACGGCATGCTCACCTCGCTCTCCCGCTTTGTGGCGAAGTCCGCACAACACGCACTCCTTTTTAAACTCTTGCATAAAGAGGTGACTTTCAAGTGGACCGAAGAGTGCGGGCAAGCCCTCCTCCACCTCAAACGGGTCCTTTCACAACCGCCCGTGTTATCACGGTCAAAGAGCGTGAAACACCAGACGGGCTGAAACCAATGTACTTTACTAGCAAAGAGCTGCAGAGCCCCGGTATTCTCCCTTTGTGAGATATATAAAAATCCCTAAAAACCATAGGAACAATAAGGTTGTTAATGAATGCAATTTACATTAGCAACTACGTAAATCTTAGACTTAATTTCATAAAAATCATAAAATCGAGAACAGTACAAATATATGAATAAACTGTCAATTTAGTCTCTAAACTATCATCCTCTCTCCAATTTAGTCTCTAGACAATATAAATATATGTATATGGAATATTTCAGTTTTTTTTTGTGAATCAGAATATATCAGTTTAGTCCCTGAATTATATGAAAACCGATCAATAAGTATCTTAAAATTTCTCGAAATTATATGAACCGTAGGATTTCTATAATGAATGCAATTCACATTAGCAATTACACAAATCTAAGACATACTTCAATAAACAATAATGAGAATAATAATAACAGCTATTAAGAATAAATGTGCAAAAGAAATGACCTCATATGGATGCAATAAAAAAGTAGACAAAATGTCTTCGACTACACTATAGCATTTTATTCTCCCAAAAGACAGCTTATTAAAATCTAAAATTCCTAGAAACCCAAATCACATGCACAAGACTAGAAAAGAAACAGTAAATCATTTAATCTAAGTATAACCTCTTGTTTAAAAAATCGAAGTACGGACATACTAGATCAGTAATGTTGCAAGGAAGTAGTCCAAAGCCAGATATGTGAAAAGCAAGCGGGGGTTCTACTTTAAGAGCTAGCAATTAGGATGTTTGTTCAAAAGTGCCAACCGTTATCTCGCCAATAACTTCTCGCATTTTTTAGAGAACGAGCATGTTTAATTTTCAAAAACAGTCTGTAAGCCCTCTCTGTCAGGTTTGAAGCAAGCAGCTTGTTACTTAGTTTACTATATACAAGCCTGCTAGGGCAGAACCCTTTGCGCAAAGCCTCCTCCATAACCAGCACAGCATTTTCAAGTTGTCCTATGTTGTAAAGGCCACTGATTATGTACTCATAAACTTCAACATCTGAACTATACCCACATTCTTGCATCTCCTGCCAGACACTTAACAATGTTCCACATTTTCCATACTTGGAAAGGCGCATAAGCAATATCTTATATGCCTCCATTGATATCTTACACTCTAATTTTCTTGCCTTCTTGTAGATCATCATAGCAGCATATGGTGGACCATAGCTGCACAAATATTTGATGAAGGAGGTTACAGTCCCAGTAGGAGGCACAACTCCTTGTCTTAACATCTCATCAAACATCAAAAGTGCATCAGCCACTTTCCTTATTCTGAGAAAAGCACTAATCATTCTAGTATATGTATCAATGTTAGGTTCACAATTATCACCCAACATCCCATTATAATACTTCACACACTCGTCAAAATTGCCAACCGAAATGAAATTGAAAATCATTGCATTATACGTCGTAGTATCTTTCTCTTTCATACTACCGAAAACCTCAACCGCCTCATCTATTCTACCTGCTCTACCCAAACCCTCAAGAAAGAAAGCAAACGTACCAAAATCAGGAGAAAGCCCCTCAACTTCCATTTCCTTCATAACCCTCTCAATCTCATCCACCCTACCAAACTTACACCAACCACCAGCAACAACATTATACGTGGCAACATTAAAAGCCACCTTCCTTTTCATTGAATTAAAAACAGAAGCCGCAGCACCAACATGAGAGCGTCGACAAAGGCACGACAAAAGAACATTCAAAGCCTCAGTATCGCGACTCAGACCGAGATCATCCAAGTTCCCAAACACGTGAATTGCTTTAGATACATGACCAGCATTTACAAAACTATCAATAACAATAGATAACATAAACAAATCAGCTTTTATACAATTCAACCTCATGTCATTCAAAACTTGCATCATAGACATGAAAAACTTCCTTCTTCCTAATGCCTTAACAATGACATGGTAGGTAGCAACATTCTTAGGCACCATTGGTTGTTTGAGTGCCCAATTAAAAAACATAACCATAGCTTCACCACCCAAATTCCCAGAGTTTAATACCCTAGCAATAATATCAACATTCACATCAATACCTACACTGGAAAAAGCTTGTTCAATTGCAGCTTTACCCTTTAGTTTTTGAAGAAAGATACCGCGTAGTTTATCTTCCGGAGACAAAAACCCATCAACGGATTTCGATTCCGAGTGTGATTCTAGGGTTTTGGAAGTGGGTATTGGTAAAAGTTGAGAGATTTGGTGGAGAATAAGGCGTTCGTCTAGTTGTGGAGATGTTGTGAGAGCATGGAGCGATGAGATAGATTGATGTAATGGTTTTGACACGTGCATTGCAAATTTCAAGCCCAGAGATCGAAGCGCCATGAAAGTGTTCCCAGAAGAACCGGAAGAATTGGAATCTATGGAGATGTTGTAGAGAAGTTTTACCTTTGAGTTTCCGTGGCGTTTGTTATTCGATTGCCCCTAATCCATTGGAGCTTGGAGGGTGATTTTGAATTAAAATTGATCATAAATCATCCATCTTTGAGAGAGGAAGAAAAAGAAGAAAAGTGACTACGGCTAGATTAGAGGAGGTGATGGAAAATTAGTTTCAATTGTAATAGTGGGGGTTGTAAACTCATATTGATAGTGACATTTATTTTAGTTAATATTTAAAATTATAAGTCTTATAATTATTATTGATATTTGTTTAGGTTAATCTCAATGTGGTAGTATTTTAGGAACTTCATAGATTTTATCACAAAAGTGTATTTTTCATAGTTTAGTTGCATGTTGTATTTTCTAACTTCTTTGAATATGGTCACCAAATGGGTTGTATGGTCTTCTTGCATTTTGGCCTTTACAATCATGTCATGTGTATAAAATTTCAACATATCTCCAATTTGGTTGTAGACCACTTTTTTCATCATCATTTGATTTGTCGCACTCGTGTTCTTAATGTCAATGGGCATGACCTTGTAACAAAAACTTCATGTATTTGTCAAGAATTTCATTTTCTTACAATTAAATGGATCCATTGGGATTGGTTATACCCAAAGTATGCATCCATGAAAGATAGGCATTTGAACCCCCAATGAACTATTGATGAGCTTGTCGATATTTAAGAGAATGTGGGCATACTTTGGACATGCTCTATTCAAGTCGAAGTAATCAACATACTTGCATAACTTGTTATTTTACTTCCATACTAGAACCACATTAGAAAGCCATGTTGTGTACTTCTCATCGGTTATGAGTCAGTCTTTTAAGAGTTCTTTGATGATCTTTCTGGCCTCTTTGATCTTCTTTAGTTATTATGTCCTCCTCCGTTGTGCCAAATATGGAACGATGTCTCGAAGGACCAAGGTGTGGCATGTAACCTCAAGGATGAGGCATGGCATCTCCTTCGCTGACCATGAGAACAAGTCATGATTTCTTTGTAGAAAATTTGATAAGTTATATTATATCAACATGGTAGGTTTTCCCTAAATTTAACGTCTTTCGAAGGACCTTCACTAACAAAGACTTTGATGAAGTCTCTGAGTGGTTCTGATCTTTCCATTTTTCTTCATGCTTCTTTAGGTATGGCCTCCTCGTCCCTTATGATTTCATAGGGGGACGGTTCTTCGATTTGAGAGTCTAAATCCACTGGCCCCTCATGATTCTTGCTTCGGGGAAAACTCTCTTTGGTGAACATTGTTCGTCTAAAAAGGTTAGGAAACTCGTATAGGATGAAACCAAACATGTCTCTAGCATCATGACCTGATTTGTCGTGGTATGGATTTTTTTTTCCTTCGGGTGAATGGTTGATGTGGCCGTGCATAGGTTTGTCAATGCCAGTTTTCCAAAGATATATTGTAGATAGAGTTTCAATCTATAACCAAAATTTTGACCTTAAGGATTCTTCTTTCTTCTTCGGCTCCAAATGTTGTTGGGAGTTTGGCGTATTCCAAATTTATTGTGTTCATTCCATTGAAACCTTGGGGGTATACATGTTGTAGCATAAGTTGTCATGCTCTACTAACATGTGTCAAACATTGTGACATGTCGCCATTATCTTGATGAGTAGGGATAGGAATAGGCCAGGCCGACCTACAGGAGCCTATGACCTAGCCTATTTAAGGCCAGACCAGGCCATGCTTTTTTGATAAAAAGGTCAGACTTAGACTTTTTTAAAAGCCTATTTAATTGAATAGACCAGGTTTATGCTGTTAAAGTAAGCCTATGAAACCTTATAAGTCAACCTATATTTTCATATATATATTAAAAATAGGCTAAATAGGCTAACAGACACACACAAACACACACACACACGCACAAACACACACACACACACACACACACACACACACACACACACACACACACACACACACACACACACACACACACACACACACACACACACACACACACACATATATATATATATATATATATATATATATATATATATATATATATATATATATATATATATATATATATATATATATATATATATATATATATATATATATATATATATATATATATATATATATATATATATATATATATATATTTGAACAAAGGCTAAATAGGTCAGTATATATATGTATTTATAGACCGACTTATAAGACTTCTTAAGTAATATGAATATAATCACATTTCCTGCCTTCAAGAGGTAAGTTTATAGATAAACTTTCCCAATTAAGACATGGTTTTTTGTTGACACAGATTATGGTGGAAATATCATCCCACTAGTAACATTTTATTCTGATTCCTTCACGAGGAATCAATAGGGAGTTATACATGGTTCTTCTCCCATCGTCATTGGAATTTTCTTGCAAGGGAAATATGAGAAGTGTTTCTACCCGAGCGTACCAAGTCATTATGAGATAAAGAAAAGAGAATGTCGTTTAACGTGATTCTCACATACATCGTTAATGATTTAGTCGTGAACCTGAGAGGATTAATGGTGATGGTAAACTTATTTTTTATATGAGATGGTAAACTCTGGTAGATGGTGAATATTTAGTCTAGTGTCGGAAGTGGTACTTGCAAATACTCTAACACGCAAGTCAATGACTACTTCAGGCATGAAGAAATATTTTAGGTCAAAATAGTGTATATAGATTTAATATTTACCTACTTTTATATAAGTCAATTCTAGGACTTTGTTGGTATAAAATCTTCAACGAGAAGGTAGTTGTCTAATGGAATAAATGTTTGTGTTTTACTCGCTATGTGATCTAATAGCATTGTTATGATTACTTACCTTGATTAGGTGTTTCTTATGGCAGAATTTAACATGATCGTTACTTGGGAAAATTTTACCTTGTACCCCTGCAGTTATCCCCTACCCCTACAAATTAAATTTTTGGACGAAAATACCCTTGTATAAATATGACACATTCAAAAAAATTCACTTTTTTCTCATTTCACTCTAAAAGATCAAGAGAGCAACAAACGCCCTGAAAACACAAACCGGAGGACGCGAGTGTCTCAAATGTGGTTTACATCGCAACACTCTGAATAACCCATCAGTAAGTACTCTGATTTATGCGAAAAAAATAAAACAACCCGGATAACACAGGCGTGGGTTCTCCGGTTTTCATAATTTCCAACCGGATAACGTCTAGCCATGTTATCCAGTTCTTGTTTCCTTATTTCGGATAACACGTTAATGCGTTATCCGGTTCTTTTATTTTTTTTAATTTTTTTTATTTATTTTCAGTGGTCTGCGGAAGAGGAGGTTTGAGCAAAAATAGTATGCGACAAAGGGTTGAAGAACAAAAATGTTGACGAGCGGTGGACGATGGAGAGGGACATCGGTAACCTAAGGCGAGTCCACTGCAGTCAACTTTCCCTGGCGGATTAATTGGTACGTCTCTTCTGGTGAGGTATGAGGGTCACGTTGCTCTCCATTTATGGTTTGATGAGGTAAGTTAATCTCTATCATGTTATCTTGAATAATTTTTATTTGTAAGCACTTATATATTTTATAACATTTATATTATAAACTATTTTCAAGAGAGACAACCGAAGAAAGAGTTAAAGGTTGATGCACATGGAAAAAAAATGATAGGATGGATTCCGCACATGCTCCCACCTGTGATACATACTTGGTTGAATGGCTCTAGTTTATCCTCTCTCCAGAGAACCAGTTTGTCGAGAATAGACCAAAATCTGGTATCGGCCTTCATATAGAGGTGGCATCCAGAAACATCGTTATTTCATATGCCATTTGCCGAGATGACCATTAATTTGGACGATGTTTCATGTATTATTCACATACCGATTAGGGGTGAGTTTGTTAACCCTCAAGAAGGATTCACTGATAGTGATGCTATTAGACTAGCTATTGATCTGATGGGTGTTCCACTGGACGAGGCAGATGAGGAGATTCATTTTTGTAGAGGTCCTTGTTATATGCTGGATTGGTTGAAGACGATATTTGTGTGTCATCGAGATGCTAGTAGATTTGACTGTGCTACTAGAGTCTATATGATGGTGTTGTTAGGTTGCACCATTCTTGCAAACACGACCTTTACTCTTGTAGAGGCAACATATTTACCACTTGTTAGGAACTTAGAAGGATGTGGTAGATATTGTTGGGGAGCAGCGACACTTGTCACACTTTACCAATATTTAAGTGATGCTTCCTTCTATACATGCAAGCAGCTTGGCGATTATGCCTCTCTTCTACATGTAAAAAATGTTTTATTTTAATTTTAATTTAACTTATCTTTATTTATTTATAATGATTTTAATTGATCATATTCATGGTGTGTAACAGTGTTGGATTCACGAGTATCTTCTCACTATTGGGAAGAGAGGTGTGTATGGGATTTATGGTATAGGTAGTCCACTTTCTAGGGTGATGAAATGGAGTTACAGGCAAGAAACACATAAGGTTGATGAGTTTAGGCATGTGTTATATGCATTGACACTTGATGATGTCATTTGGCGGCCTTTTGAGGATCACAGACATGCCCATCCATTTGATGATATATATTTGTACAAGGGTGGTCTGAAATGGTATGGGACAATTATGCTATATTTACCTGATAAATGTTTATGTCAGTTTGGATATAGCAGTACATACCCCGCCCACCTCGTGATATTGACTCACTTGATGTGGATGTTGATTGGGCTGGATATGTTCAGGGAGTTTTGGATGTGATCCATACGACAGTTTTCGCCACTCGGCCATATGATGTAGTCGATGATTACTTGGCTTGGTATTATATGGTGTCACATACCCGTTTGGTAGCACCACCACAGGATAAGGTGAGAGAGATCCCAATTTCTGTCTATGACGAAGGACCATTAGACCAGAGTTTATCATATATTTCATGTGAGTTTCATCGCTACTTACAGCATCGTGAGGGAGATAAGGA